TTACTGTATTATAATAAAGGCATCAACAACGATAATCTACGGGCTTCCAATCACCCAAGAGGTGCTGTAGCCGATGCGTTCCCATTATTTAACGTAGCGGGTCCCCAGTAGGCCTATACTACGATCGAAAATAATAACGTCATACAAATGATCCATTTAAATAATTAGCGTATAAGCAAATCACAATAACGTGAAAAAATGGTTCGACTGAAAAATCTAAATAACATGCGCTATGTAGTAAGAAATAAATTTTGTTCATCGAAAATGAATACTAAAATTCTCGACTATATCTCTATTTAACTGGACTAATGCTGTGTTGCTAATGCTGCGCGCTACAGTCTCTTTTAGTACAAATCCCCACTCATAGGCAGCGCCACAAGATAGCTGTGGCCGGGCGAGGCAGGTAAGTAAGTGTTGCAGGAGATAATATAAAACACACAATATATTTATTAATTAGTTAACGTGTACATGAAGGCGGACATGCTGGTGTGCTAGATGCGAGTGATGCGAGACGACTAGAAGGTTCTCGAAGGGTCTGATCCGGAGGGCGCCACCGCTGCGGGAGTCCTTGGATCTGATTGGCTGCTGCCTCGTGGGTCGCCACATAGCTTGGGATTTTCGGGGCGCCATCTACCCGCTGGGATTGGAACTAAAATTTTACTATAGTATATGCTTGACATACCCCCACCACGTCCTCCGCACCTCTATACCTATCTACACTCAACGGTACTAGCACATGTCCTCATTGGAGAAGTCAGCCATAGGGAAAGGAAGGAACAGTTCAATATGTAAACTCCGTTTATTTTCAAATTGCAAGTACCTGATTAGTTAACCGGGCAGTTAAACCGAGAGTAAACAAGAAACCTTATTATTAAAATCAAATCTAAATAAATTAACGATGGTATGAGGGTAAATATGTTCTACTAGAGATAGAGCAGAATGATGATTCAATCCGTTCCGCCCTGAAAAATGAGATAATTTCTTTATCGTATGTCAACAACCTTGTACATGATTGTGTTTCCTCTCTTGAGAGTTTCATGAAGTCGCCGTGCCATATATTAATATGCGTCGTTGTAGCGAATACACATTTTTCAAAAGCTACTCTCTCGATAAGTATCCACATTTAGCTATCTATATACATATACACATATACACCACAGTGAGTGAAAAATGGCCGCCAACGTGAGAACAGGTGCGTATTATGCGCGACTTTAAATGAGTACAATGTTCGAAATACAATAGTTTTCACATTAAAGCTTCACAAAGATCCGTCAACTTGAGTCTAAAACAGCACTGTGCTAAAATCAATACACAACTCGCTGTAGCTTGAAAAAGAGCTCTGAAAAAAGTAGGAGCCTTTCTGCTTTTCTCTTTCTCTCTCTACATATGTATATGCCAAACGTTAGGTCGCTGTGCGATTTATTAACATCCAATTTTCGTATTGGCAGTTGCGTACACGAATCAAAACCAGTGATGAGAAAAGCACTAATGCTGGCTGGTGGGTGTTCCGAAGTTTCTAGTAACGTTTTTCTATTTTTTTTGTTTTTGAGGCACACGTTGCTCCGGAAATTTTCTCGGTTAATCACATCCATTTATCCTTTTACATACGTATGCGCAATTACGTGGACCTGTGTGTGTTCATTCTCGTTCGCCTAAGTATATTCTGTGACGTTAGCGATCAGTGTCAGGCTATGCAACATCACCAATTGTTCATAACGTCAGTCAACGACTCATACGATCTATTTCATTTGCAGACATGCGAATTCCCACGCGGGCGGCCCCTAGATCTCCTAGTAATTCCGTCGTACAAAGGAATGCAGTCTGGCGAACGAAGTGAGTTTTATTTGGAGCACTATTTTAATTTTTTTTTTGTAGCTTTTAAGTATTAATGCTATGAATTAATTATATGTTTGATTCACTCGATCTATCCTGTTGAAAAATTGTAACAAGTAGCAGTTGTTGAAAACTTGATAAATCAATGTTTCATGATTATCAAATACTACACTATTTTTTAACAATTTATACAAACCCCTGTTTATCCTTATTTAGACTACATAAGTGTTACTCTTTTGCACTATGAAAATTGAAGTTCACTTCATGGTAATCGGTAGGCAATATTATACAGTAAGATAATGGTTTTATGACAATTGCAGCAATGATCTGTTTGGAGTTTCATTGATGCAACAACCTGTGCAAAAGAAAAAGCCACCACCCCGTCCACCACCTCCAAAGTTTCCTCCAACATATACTGAAAATCAAAATGGTCAAAAACCAAAAAAACCAGTAAGTTTTTCTTATTATGATTGCATATTTTATTTTTATCTGCGTATCTTGATAAAAATTAAATATTTAGACATTATCATGTTCATGTTGTATCATGCATCTACTATTTGTATAAAAAGAATATTTATATTATATAATTAGTTAGACTTTGAATGTTTACCAATACACTTCGCACTTAAATATTTAATTTGAGATTGGAAAAATCTCATGTCTAAATCTACTCTTGTTTATCCATACTGTAGTATATTTTTAATCTATAATAAATGTCTTAACTGTTTGAAAAAATGTTCTGCTTGTTAAAGGCGAGACCAACGGAAGTCCTGACCAGTCTCTTTGGCCGAAAAGCAACAAAATCCCAGCGGACGAATGTAGAATACTCATACAGCCGTTCACAAGCTTCCATCTTACAACCGTCAAACGTATCGAATGGAACAGTTTCTTTAATAGATCTAAGTCCTCCAGGATCGCCAACATTCACAACGCGTTCAAATAGTGATGGTGTCAGCGTCGATAGTTTTGGTAGCGACGGAAACTCAAATCCATCCGTAATCACAAGTAGCGGCAACACATCTCAAACCGAAAGTGCCTTTGAGGATGATTTTGACTTTTTCTGTGGCATCACGAATCAAAAAGTTGCTCAAAACGATCCATGGAAGATTAATACAGTTCAGGATCCCTTTTCTTCTCACCAAATTTCGAATAGCAGCAGCACCAATTCTAATACTGTCAAACATGTTGGAGAAGCATCTTTTTTTACGTTTAACAATGATAATTGTACAATGAATGAAGTGCCTTTTAATCAACCGTCATCGAACATGACCCAGTTGACGCCAACGATAATACGTGCAAAGCCAGTGAAGCCACCTGCGCCTAGGTCAATACAGAAGAATTCTTCGTCCAACGTCGATGAATTCGCTATTAAACCTATTCCTTTGCCTCGATCTGTAGTGCCTTGTGAACCAGTGACATTAGACTTCAATAGTGCCTGGAATGATGATTTAACGGATGAGCCGTCTCCTCCTATGCCTTCAATACCACCACCAGCACCACCAACAGAATTTTTAAAGGATCTCGAGCAAGGAACCATAGTAAGTTGACGATTAAGCTTTATATCATACTAAGGGAATTCTTACTTTTCAGAATATTGGTACTTATACTAATAGAAGCGAAAAATTCAAGTTCGTTAATTTAACAATTGTATAAGTCGCAAGAGATCCTTGTTCAACAATGGAAAGTATATTTCGCGCCTAATGCATAAGTTTCTCGTGTTAGTTACTGCATAGGCAATATTTTTTTTAAGGTGTTAATCTGGTTATAATATCTTCACTTTCTTTTTTGCTGTACGTTCGCATAAGACGTATTTGCGGTGGAAACTAAGAAGCTATTTTAATGCAAAAAATTAGTGAAATGTATACTTTTTTCATTCTTAGGGGAACAATGAAAGTCCGCACGGGATTGCACTGTACGACTTCAACGCAACTCAACCTGATGATCTTGCATTGAAGGAAGGCGATATCGTTATCCTAATAAAAGCTATCAATGATGACTGGATCGAAGGACGAGTTGGGAATCAACAAGGAATATTTCCAGCTAATTTTATAGATGTCAAAGTGCCATTACCAGGACTATCAAGAAATGTGGTAAATGCTCTGTATACCTTCAAAGGAGAGACGTGGGAAGATTTGTCATTCGTGGTAAGTCAACTACATGGCCAATAATGAAGATTTGTGCGTATAGGTACCTTCCCACTTCGAACGGACTATAGTCGGTCCACGAGTTCAGTGTCGTTTTTTCATAGTTTCCAAGCAACACGGTCCGAAACAAATGACACCCGGTTTTCCCTAAAATAACGTAAACAAATGGTAAAATAACAGAATAAAACGTATTTAGTGTAAGACCATATATATGCATACTCTGTAACAAACATTTTGTACAATGACACAAATGCCTTGCTAGAGACCTTATTGTTTTTAATCTGTTAAAAAAACACATCGAATTGATCAACAGACTCAAGTTGCACAAGACGGATAATTTGGAGAAACAGATGCCTCGTTTATCAAAATCGATCATGATGTGACCGTTGGGTTGGATAACTTTTTCATGTTGACTAATCCTGTGTTCCGATATAAGCTTTCTGTACTGTGAAATTGACGTCACTTCACAGTATACCGTAATGACGTCATTTTTACAATACTAAAAACTTATATCGGAACACAAGGTGAATCAGATCAACAAGGCATCTGGTTTTCCGAGTTATCCGTCTTATGAGACTAGTCCGTTTGACGTGGGAAGGTACCTTATATCATTACCGTTACCTCTCACCGCTAGTAATGACTACCAGCCTGTAGTATATTATACGTAATGCAACATCACTTTTGTTTCCTGTTTCGCAGGAAGGTTCTAGAATAACGATATTGTCCAGGATATCAGACGATTGGTTATACGGCGAATGCAACGGAAAACGGGGTCAATTTCCAGCAAATTATGTTCACAGGGTATCAATTAATCTCCCAAATTATTCTTGAATACCGTTTCCTGCTACACATTTGAGAGGATCTGTCAAAATATTTGTAACATTTACATTGTAAACGATTTGTACTTCCATTTGAAGTTATTGATTTTTGCGGATGAGGGCGACCATAACGATTATTTTTAATCTATAACAAAGGAGGTTGCGTAAACTTTTTGAAACAACCTTTTTAATGTTCTGTATTGTAATGCAGTCAAAGGCCTCGTTTGTGTCCAAGTGGGTTTTGAAACAAACTACATGTCATACTTATAACTAATACTGAATATTACATTAGAATTGTATTTATTCTCATTAATTGTCAAGTCGTGATGTCTCTTTATCAAAAGATTTACAATTGCCCATTGTCAATAAATTATTCTAGCATTGCTGCAGGAAGGGTAAATTGTAAATATTAAATGTGCTAATATGAAATTAGCTGAATTACATTACGTGTAACGACATAATTAAGTGCTTCCTGTAGACTCATGTTAGTTTTTTAACTAATAGTAATGAAATCTAAAAACTACTTTTAGCTGATATTTCTACATATCGTCAGAATTCGTTTCCAAATTTTCTCTGGCTTAACCTACATTCACAAACGGATTTTTCATAATTTCCTATAGGAAATGTGTTTAAAGTCCTAATCAAATCTGATACAACCTAGTATCGCAATTTCTTCATTTCAATATTTATTTTTGAAATAGCAAATGCAGTAGCAGAATATATAAAATAATTTATTTTTAAACTCGTTTGCATAGAAAATGCTTAAATGGGAATATAATTCACATTGGCAATAAGATAAAAAGTTTTTTACACAGGAAGATTAATGAAACGGACATCAGTTCAATTTACTTATATTAGTTGATTTCCGATAGTTTTTTTTTTCATAGCCTGTCCAACTTTTAATAACTATTACTATTCGTTTAATTTATAAATAATATGTTTCAATAAATATTAGTAAATTTAACTCCTGAATATTCTTATGAAAAGGCTCTGTAATTATATTCTCGATTATGTGCACTTTCAGCGTGAGGCACAATGACAGAATGAAGTATCCAATTATTACGTTTGTGTATATTTTGTTAAAGCATCTGATCGTTTTGTGCCTTTGGTAATATTCGCACTTACAGATTTTTCGCCTTTTTATAGTTACCATGATAAGCGTAACATTAATCGAATTATTGATAATGCATAATTGTAATATTTAAGGATCTTATTTATATTAATTTTATTAGCAAATCCAACGTTATATCTAATAGAGATGAATTTCCCCTGTATATATATAACTAATTTAAAATTCCATTAATATGTGCCTGTAAACGATGTGTGATAATCGAATTTAAAAATGCGATTAAATGATGCAAGTGCTTCATTTCTTTTGAGAAATTTACATTTTCGTCTATACTATCATATACAATGGCAAGATTCATTTAACATTCTTTGCAGAAAAATTGCAAAATGCTATTGCATCGAGGAATATCGTATTGCTATTTTTTTCTTCAGTTTATGCAGAAATTTCGCTATTCCAGTATTAATAGTGATTATTCGAATTTATCTTGAGGAACGTCAACAGGACCAGAATTAAGCGTTTGCGTTAAACAGAATTATGCGTTTTGAAAACATAAACATTAAAACCATAAACAAGATGTGGTGTAATCAAACTGACAATGCATATTTTTCGTATATTCAATAAGTTACATATTTCATAATAATGATGTACAATGTGATATTTTTCTGCGTTAATATACAACATTTAACTACGAAGGAATAAAATGTGTAAAAAACGTGTAAACAAGTTTTTTTTTATTACCAGTAACAATTACTTATTTTACATAAGTCAAGTAATGTAAATTTATAACATCCACGTTATCAATACAATTCTACGTAGGCATCTTAAAATATAGTCTTTGTTTACTTACATATTGTAGAGCAAATAGTGAAATAACCGTATGCGTTCATTTTCACTCTGCACCCACTTATTTTGTAAATTAAGAATACCAGTCTCAGGTAAGTCACTTAAGGCAGTCGTCTGGTTTAGAAGTCTAAAAAAAGGTGATTTTTGGCGATTTTTTTATAGGTAGAGAAACAACGGAACGTCTTAAAATTGTTAGTGTATTTTAACGTAAATTGGGAAAGAAAAAAAATTTTTATCATCAAATTATCGCAAAATGGCGAAGTTATTAGCTAACCATTGAAGCGCCTGAAGAGAAAACACGCTTCACAGTTCTCAGTCGGAAAAATATGTTATTGGAAACTTACACACACGTGCTCGACGCTTACCTGTTCTCGAATCTGTATCTTCCAAAATAATTCGAATTGTATTCTAAAACTTTAGGAATATACTTTCTAATAATTAAATCATCGATTAAAGAAAAAAAAAACGATTTTTTTGACCCTCTAAACCAGGCGTCTGCCTTAATCTGTTGCTTCATATACCGTCATGTTACGGTACCAGTGTCGTCAGTATTTTGTTCTGCATCATTATAGTAGATAGATCGGTCGCTAATTTTAATAACTTTTATTAACGATATAGTGGAAGGTATAGTAAATAAGGAAAAGTTCTTTTGCTTAGACCACATTGAAATCCAATTAGGAAAGCGCTTCAAACAAAGAAACTTTCTGTAATTTTTAAACGTGCATGTCACGCTATCCCTAAATTTTTTACCTGTGAGGTAGTAAAGAAAAAAGTTTATGGCAAAATTCCAGTGGTAAATATGGAATACCAAACCTCTACACCACTTCAATAGCATCTTTTCCTCCAGCCTGAAATTCAGTATTTTAATATATTTTTTTTATTCTTGATTAATACGTTTTCGTACTTACCAGTTAACGTATTGCTCGTTTGCCTCTTTACCAATGGAAGGATACTTTATCAAGACAACATCCCAATATAATTCCAAAGTTTCAACTATTCCAATTGGCAATAGTAAAACCAAATACACAATTGAAACAGCCAATAACGTCGTACTTGATCGGTGAGTAAGATTAGCTTCACTCCCTTATACATACACATATTTGTTAATAGCCAATTAAGTCTCAGTCATATGATACATAATCATGTATAGCTAAATACCTGTTAGTTGAACGCGAATTTTATCAAACTTTCTCATTTGTATAATCAACAATACATTCCCAATTGATATGAAGAGTAGAGGTAGCCACGTAGATAGGGCTACATACAAGTGCATGGTACTGCCCCAAGGATTCAATTTCTTCTGACATGGGACAAACTCAAATACACTGTCTATCTCGTAACCTACAAAACGGAAGCCCATTAAGAAATAATTTACTATTTTTTAATACTCTTATTTTAGTTACCTCCTGAATATAATTTAGTAAGCGATATTGTGAATGACACACATATCAGAGTAGCCATAATTATAATTGCTGAACGACTCTGACATGTACTTCGAGTCTGAAATGGAAAGATAACAACACACACCCGAGTCCAAGTTAAAGAAACAACCAGCCAGGTCGATGTGAATTGGAAGAGCTCCATAGTTACAGAGTTTAGTTGGCAAAGAAACTTGCTTTTCTAGAAAAGGGAAAAGAATGTTTTAAACCAAATTAGCTTCACTTGTATTTAGTAGCTCGGCTCTGCTTACCATAAACAAATCGTTTATGTACGGAAACCGCGACTTTGCTATTCCTACAGCATAATTGAATACCAATGCTCCATTATCAGAAATAGCTAAAGCCCTTAGATACAGAGATAGATTCGAGTCATTTAGCATAGATGTGCTAAGCATTCCAAACGATATCGTGTTTAACGTCACTCCTATAAATTATTTAAAAATATACTGTGTGCCCCATTTTGACTTAGATACTGCAATATCTCGGAAACAAGGAGTTTTTGGAAAAAATGTTTGAGACAAAAGTTGTCGGGTTCGAAGGGGGCCATCTAATGAGGTACCGGAATTTTTAGCTTGGTGCCTGTATTAGTCCCTGTGAGACTCAAGTCCATTTTTTAAAATAAGAACCCCTATTTCTTATTGCGAATTTGTGTTGTATGAAAAAAAAAATAAATAAATTTTGTTCCTAATCATTTTTCGACAAACCCTCTGCAAAAGACGCAAAAGGCCCTCGAAGTTGAATTTTGAAATACGTTACAAGTTCCGGTTTTTTGTTAGTGATAATAATATGGACTGGCGATTTGATAATCTGACTAAATTAAAGCTACAGGATGTTAATAATGCCAAATAAATCAAAATCAATGAACGAACCAGCCAATATACACAGTGGGATAGAAGCTAAAAAGACTGGCCAAAAGTCAAGATGTCGTCTGATTTTTATGAAACTTGATATAAGACGATTGTTGAAGTCTTTGATTTTGAACTTGAAGAAAAAAACTCAAAATTCAGAATGGCGAATTCAATACGGTGACCAAAACTTCAAAAGTTTACATAATTTATATGAAACCTGGTATAAGGGGGTTGTTGAGGTCCCTGGTTTCGAACTTGACGTCAGAAGTTAAAATTTCAGGTTGATTGTACTTTATAAGTCCCCTTGTCTCTCACAATTCCGAAGTACTTGTTTTTCCACTTTTTCTCCGTAATTACACAATATGTATTCTATTCACAAATCTTTGTACGATAAGAGATCGGTGGAAAACAAAAAAGGATGTCTATGACATACATAATTCACGCATGATTAACCTCAAGACGCGCTAGGATTCTCATTTTGCTTCCTCATAGAGGAAGCTATTTTTTCATGAAAATTTTTTTTTCCGAGATTTTCATGTTAGAATACTTAACATGGCCTAAAACTTCAAGAAAAGTAGTTTAGAAAAAATTTCCGTATGTGCGTGTGTGCGTGTGTGTGTGTGTGTGTGTGCAGAGCTTCGAAAATTCAATTGCCTCTCACTCAGTAACCGTTAGAACGATCGGACTGAAATTTGGCACGCAAGTAAAGTAGATCCCCCAAAAAACACTTACGTGTAAAAAACTACGCCAAGGTACAGGAGTGCTGTGTATTCCTCTAATAAAAAGTATTGATATCAGATTATGGAGGCCAAGTACATAAGTCACTATATGTTTGCCTATTATATGATCTAGCACTGGTCCATCATTTGAATTGTATTTTCAAAATTTCTTATAACGTTTTCACTACTCTTTTACATTACTACTGCTTCCCGTAGTTGATTATGATTTAATGGTCAATTAATAATTAATAAAACTGTAGATAATTCCTTATCGAGTACTACTTGGCGGATCCGTGTCAGGAATTCCAAAGTACTTACTTTGAACGTACTAATAGTATCCTAAAACTATATGTGTGTTATTAAGCTTTTACCGAATAATTAATAAAACTTTAGGC